ACTGACACGAATAGGTGGAAGTGTCTAGATCATCAGGATAAGTTGTTTTCACTGCCATACATCCACGAAGCGCATACTACAAAACCGCAACAGAAAAAAGACTGACCGTTTACTGCTTCTGAAGCTTGTTGTGAGCCGCATCAGTTATCGAATACCGTTCTGAATGAGTAATGGCGTCACTTGCTTCACTCGTCAAACTCAGTCAAGAGGAACACCTGTCAGATAACTTCGCCCACGCCAACAACCTTGTTGTGTGCTAAGTGAACAAAGACAAACACGACAAAACTCTAGATTTTTCAACACTGAGGAAATATTGGGTTAGTCGATTCAAAGAAAAACTGCATCGTCGGCACCAGGTAAAATACCTGGAATATACCAGCGGAACACACTGAATGAAAAGGTAGTTCAGCGAACAAGCTTACTTTCGGTGACTTATCGACTAGAAAATACGTCACATTTTATATATAAAAGAGGAAACAAAACAAATGATTACTCAAATTCAATAAAAATCCTACATTTGATTAATCAATTATTTCGTTTCCTCTTATCTTTACGAAATGTTTATAAGATACCTGGGTTAAAAAGTCTCACACGACCTGATGAAACCGGACCCCGAGCGACGACAGGCAATCGGTTTGTCTTCATCTCACTCCTATTCTATACGGCCATTGCTCTAAACAATCATTTCTCTTGCCGGAGAACAGTAATCTCATTTAAAACGCTCGAAAGCAAAAAAAACAAGCAATCAACACCACTAACAACCCCAAGACATTGTCAGTGAAAACAGAAGCCTCGGACATGACTCTAGTCAACAGCATCTATCATCATCTCACACTCAAAAAGAACCTTAGGGAGTCCTACGTGCAAAGATGGGATCACCATCTAAATGTGAAAACACCCAGCAGTTATTCCAACTGGTCGATACTACTAACGTTAGTAAAGCAATTTACGAAAGACGGCAGACCGAGTCTATTTCAACGCTTGGAACGCTGAACGGAACACTTCGTATTGCAGTTCAATCAGCCTAGCATCCTGGCTACCCCGAGTAGTCCTTTCGACGAAACACCGGTCAATATCCACGGAACGCCCACAGAAGAAGGGGTTTGAAGGATCTCTAAGCCCTGAAACACCAGTATCTGGATCCGAAAACCTGCCGCTGGTAGTATTCCGCGAGCCGACAGATCATGGAACTCTCTCTTTGTTATCAACATTATTGTACCCGGATTTTGTGGAACAGTGTGGATCCAGGTGTGAAGTATAAACACACCTAAGCCGGCTCTATTATAGCTGAAGCACGAGTGTGACAGCAAACTACAGTCGAGGAAATGCTCGACCGTGAGTAATGGATTTCATTCTTCTCTGGAAAAAAACAGTTCCAATGCCACAAGGAAAATTCCACGATAACAAAACATGTTCAAGAACACCGCCGTGGAACACAGTACCGCTAAATGAAACCAATGGATGCAACGGCGGCGAACCACGATTGACTTCCCGACGTCGATACCCGGCAGCGAAGTATTACATTATCGCAAAGAAACAGCATGGAACTAAAACCTGGAATGGGCATTGCTAGACGTTCACTGTTTATCCGGACAACTCGTTAACGTCGCAGACAGCAGCACGTCACATGAATTTTTAACTTTTCCCTTGTTGCCAAGATACCCACTGTTTTGTTCCAGGCGTTTTCGATAGCGATACGCCACCAAAAGTAGCGTAAAGGAGGAAGCGAAATCTCCTGGGTACAAGTTTGTTCACATAATACCCGCGAGTGGTAGGTGACACGACGGTCGCCGGCATAAAAGGTCACTAACGGAAGTCACACCAGAGTATGCTCCAAACTACCNCCCCCCCCCCCTTCAATGGAACCAAACCTGAGTTCTCGCTTCCTACATCGGCACAGATTAACTTCTGAGCAGACATGACACCAGCACTATCCCAGATTATTCAACTCCATTATGACCGCAACCAAAGGTATACACCGACAACCTACTAAAAGGCAGTTCCACATTTTTCGATGTGTTTAGCTTAATAGCTGCATTATTGCGTCCACCGGTGATCAGCATCAGCATTCGACTGGTGTGCTTACCAAAACATCGTAGAGCGCTCCATTCCACGAGGTCACTACGATTTGGTCGTTTCAATGTATTACGCAATCGATGAATCAACGCAGGCTTCGAAGCCGCGTTCATCTTGACGGATCGCCCAACGACTAAATCCCTGGACATGTCTGCAGTAATGTCAATTGACAAGCGATTTCCCGAGGTGGAGCGGCATATTTCGTAGTTCCCAATTCATAGGACTTCTTAATGGCAGACACCAAGATGTGAACCACCAACCACAAATTGAAATCATATAATTTGTTTTCTCATCGAATTCTATGAACGCATTCGAGAATATGGGAACGAAAAAAACCAACACACACGAACTGAGAGCTCTAAGACCGAAAATCCCAAATATTCCAGGCTAACCAAACGAGCGTCCAACTTCACAACAGTAGTCCTGACAAGCGACTACGGAGGCGATTTCTCACCAAGCAGATTAGCACGAGCACTAGCCTATACATTATTTAACTCATAACAAGCACACAAGTTATTCCAAAAGCAACTTTATGGGGATCCGATGGAACCAGTAGGAAATGTGGAAGTACGAAACGCGACGGAAGGCGAAGGAACGAGCAGACATTCGAACCATTCACACGACCGACACAAGGTAACCAACAAGGGAAACTAGATATGAATAAACCAAATGATTTAAATACAGTGCAGAAATAAAGAATCATTTACAAGTAATGGAAGCAGCCTTTCGGAATGGGCAAGTGCAAATCAAGAAAAATGAAGAGTGGGAGTTGATGCGACGATGACGGGCAAACTAAAGAGGACTGAACAGATGAGGCAAAGAACAAGCCGACGGCACACATTGTGCAGCTGAGTAAGAAGGGAGAACCACGGAAGACATATTCAAGTGCACTTCAAGAATTAGGTATGTATCGCACGCCATAGGAATGGGTGGTTATTCTGATCACATCAAAGGCGAGCGCGTCTATGAGTACGTGAGTCTCCTTGGGAGAACCTGGAAATCTAGCTGCAAAAATAAGATACGGATAAAAGCTTCACCACCGCGCACTTGAAGAGCGCTCGAAAACAAACTAAAAACCTACGATATCTAACGCAGAGGACAGATAATTCTACACAGACATCCAATAGTGCATATAAAAAACATATCACAGAAGCGAGCTCCGCGTTTTCGTTAGCGGAACCTTTAACTTTAGCATTTAGGGGAAAATGGGGTCTTGTGCAGAACTGAATGGCGGTGGGAAATGGAACAGGTTGTCTAAGATAATTGGCATAGAGTGAAAGGTGTCCGGCAACGTAAAGTAGAAAAATAATATAACCGAGTCCGGGAGACTCAAGACGGAAAAATAAGGCACCTTAATATGGACAAACACGTAACGAAGACCGACCACGCGGACTAGATATTTTCGGTGGGACAAGCAAGGTGCAAAGCAGGCAATAGAATACAGCAGGTTTCAAACCCTTAAACATTTTGGTGGATAGCGAGGGGCTGTACAACCACCAAATATTGTAAAACAACGCAAAATGGTTGGGTATGTACACTGTACAGAGCAATGCGAGCAAGAAATTGTGAGACTCGAAAGACCAGTCAAGGATGGGAATTAACGGTTACTTTTTTTGGTGTTGGTTGACTTGAATTAGTAGATGAGACCGATAGTGTCATGGAGTCAGGAGCAAATGAAAGAGCATGATGAGTAACATTCACCCTATTCGCGCTGGAACCCGGATGCGCGTTTGAGCTGTTGACGCTACTAGTCGTCGGTTGCAGCGGGCCTGCTACACTGTTGGTTGTAGGAGCGTGTGAATGATTGTTAGAATGTATACTCTGGCGAGTTCCATGAGACTGAGTGAGATTGGAGGAACTTTGGTCTGCCTGACCAGCATACAAAGCATCGATCAAAGCAGTGGGGATTTGGGGTAAAGTGGTGGCTTGCATGGGATGGGGTATAGTTCCACCAAAAGAAGCTCCCACAGCATTCGGCACGGTGATGGCATGTGGACCATGGGATAATGTTACATAGTGAGGAAAGGGTTGTGTGGGTGTTATATTGGGAACTGCGATTCCACCTCCCGGTGTAGCTACGGGAATCCAAACACCACCAGGATTCAAAGCCCCCACTGGTCGATTGAATAACGAACTAGGATTGTTTGCAGCAGAGCCTAGATAGCCTGGTGAGGGGTGAGCGGTAGGTAGGAATTGAAAAAACACAGGCGAGTTGTTCGGAGCAGCCAATGCTGTGGTGTTCCCTACCGGGGGCAAAAACGCACCCACCGTAGGCGAGGGGTGTCCAGGCGTGGCGATACGGTAGATAGCAGTCATAAATGCGGCACTTCCGTCTGGTGGTTGAAGGTTCGGTTGATTGGGGGACGAAAGGAGAGACGGCTGGTTTGCCGCAGCCGCAACTAATGCCTGGTGATGAGGATATAAGTTTTGCTGATTGGGAAAAGTTATGGAAGCTGCTTGAGGTAGAGCCGCGCCTGCATCCGACTGAGAGTAGTACTGTTGAAGCTGAGAAGCAGTGAATCCAGGGTATGTGACACTTCCTGGGGAGGCATTGTTAAATTCCATGCGGGGGACGGAGTTCAACACAAATGCTGGAGATTGCAGATACTGCGCAGGGATATGGCCAGGTGTTGCGATTAATGGAGGCATGGGTATCGCGGAGTTTGTGGTAGTATGTGTTGTAGAGTAAGACACTGTTGACGCTGTTGAGATCAGATGAACCGGTCGAGAAGGCTGAGCAGCATCGCCGTTTGGGGTCGCAGTTTGAACCAAACTGGTACTAGTGTTCACCGCCGACACTGAATTTGTCGTTGTTTCTGACACATGTGTAGCGTTCGGAGGGGTTAAGGATGATTCGGTGGAATTTTGAGTGAATGGCGTGTCCCCCATAGTTGTGGAAGGCGCACTAGGGGCTGGTGCCATGATACGGACAATGCCTATTGGAGACCCATCCGTTGAGTAGGTTACAGCAACAGAGGGACTACTCGCCACTGCCTCCAACAATTCAGTCTTTGTTGTTGACACGAATCGTAAACGATTGAACTGGAGTAGCTCACTGATTGGACAAACGTCTTGATTCGCCGCCAAAATAGAGGCCAGATGAATGTCCCGGTTGAGATTGGAGCGGCTGAAGTAGTACTCCCTGAAAAATGAGACAATAAGCCAAAAATTTGCATCAGTCAATCAGTCTAAAATGGTTAGTGAATATTACAAAACTTATGAGTAAACTGCACGCATAGGAGATGCGGCATAAAACGGTACATATTAGCCCATCTTAGAGTAATTCCACATCTTACTATTCCATTGGGTAATCGTGAGATGAGTGTCACCCACCTTAAAGAAGGACGTTTGCATCATTTTTCGTTCACAACAGTATAGAATTTCCTGGAATATTTTATTTTTTTCGACCGCCATTTGTTTTATTTATTCACCGTGAATTGCTAAAATCATCACTC